TTCAGTATTATATGATTTATTTTTAATCATTGAAGATTAGCCATTAAAATCACTGAACTATAGATAAATAACACTAATTACTCAATCTAAATAATATTACAAATATGGTGTATTTGCTTTTTGATAATGCATAAAATTTTCAAATTTATGAACCATTATGAGAAAAGACGTATCTTTCCAATGAAATTAAAATGGGAAACAAAAAATTGTAAAAAAATTAATTTTATTGCTTTCAGATATAATTTTATAAATAGCTGTGCACATATTTTCTAATACTGTTACAAAAGAGTTTTATTTTATCAGTACGAGTTATAATGTAGACTCTTACAATGAACTTAAATATGACTAGAAATGTTCTGAAATATGGCAATATAAATATATTATAGCATTTCTTTGGATTTAAAAAAAAAATGAGTAATGCAAGAAATTTCCAAAAGTTGCACATGAAAACATTTCATCACATTTAAGGCATCCCATTTTCAAAATATCACATATTAAGAAGCTGATCATCTCTTTCTTCATCCATTTTCAACTGATCATCTATTCCTCGATAAGCCTGCGATTCTTGCCTTGGGCCACAACGACAAAAATAATCACATCCATCCTGTAGAAGTAAATATGAAAAATAAACCTGAACATTTTCAAGAAAACAATTTAAAAGGAAAAAAATTAATAAACAACAAACTTAGTTTTACTAAACAAATAACTTAAATAGAATATTTCCTTTCTAAATTTTAATTTAATCTTTAATTAATTCTAACTGTTTTCTATGGAAACAATGTATGACTATATACAGCCTTTTCAATAAAAGATGTATTTATAATTTGCATTACTGTCCTTTTTTTATTTACAACTTCATTCTCTCTTTTTTACCTTTTAATCTCCTCAATATCTCTTACAATTTTTTTGTATTAACCTTTTGATGAGTGCGATATTATTTTTATAATTTTTTTAACTAAAACCTCTAGAAATTGAATATTATGATCCTAGAAACAAATAATATATGAATTAGGTGATCGCACATTGAAATCAGCGCACGTCTACGACTTTGAAACTTACTGAGGTAGTGGGGGGAGGGAATTACATTTTCAGTGCGTGATTTCAATAAATGACGAAATTTACAAATTTTTAAAAACTGTATGTAAGAACTGCATTATATGTAAATTTTTTACATTTTTTTTTACAAAGTAAATTGCAGAAAAAATTTTAAAATAAACATTTATGTAATTTTTCTATAGCAGTGAAAATATAAGTACCTACATAATAAGAATATTCGAATAAATGGATTAAAAAAACTCTAAAATAAGGATATAAAAAAAAACCCCTCCGTGTTTTTGTTTTAATTTAAAGAAAACAAACATTTGTGTGAACTAATTTAAAGCATGTTTGTCTTTTTGGTACATGCACAGACCCACATTGCACGTTTCGCACATGTATCTTGTTCTGTTGTTTTGATGATATCTGAATAATTATTTTTCTTATTTAAGAAAATCTGAATTTTTATTTAATTCTTTGAATTATTAATTTAATGTATCAATAATTTGTTAGGTAAATTCTTATTTTTGAGAAAAACCAATGCTTCAATAATATATATATATATATATATATATATATTTTCTTTTATTTAAATTTAACCAAGAAACACTTTGTGTAAAAGGATTCAGGAAAGGAGAAAATTTTTGCTGAGTCATTTTTAGAATTTTCTAGAGGGAAATTTCTTTGTCTTGGTTATTTTGATTGACAGGACTATGTGACGAAAGTTCAACGGGTTAATGTTTCTCCTACATAGGAGGTCATTGCTTTGGCGATATAAGTGTCCAGTTTTGGCCTGCTTTTGAATAACTGGTATGAGCGTAATTTGAGTTGTCTGGTCTTTTGGGGTGAAAAACGGAAATTTGTCCTAATGAGTGGGGCAAAAATTGAGTTTTGTGGTAGCCTGTATTCCTTGTGAGAAGCGAGGAAAAATTTGAGTATTGACTGACTTTCAACTTGTGTGCAGAGTTGGATGAGGTGAAATAGTTCATCTTCTAGCAGTAGTTGCGGCAAGCAGTGGAAATTATGCTCCCCAGCCGTGTTTTTCCCGTAATTAGGAGAATAGGAGTTTGTGTGGCGATCTTCTGAATTAATGAAAGAATTTGGAGATATCTAAGGATTTCAGACCACACATTTTGACTTTACGCTTGGCTATCCAGAAAGATAGTTCTCTTCGTTGGGTTGTTAAAAAAGGGGCCCTTAAGGTTCGTTCAGACATAAAGAGCATAAGTGGTTAAAGCTGAGCTCCGTTGTAAAGGCAACCAGTCTGTGCTATGTCACAAAATCTGGTTAAGGGCTTGTGGCATAGGGTTCAAAGTTTTCAACTTTACGCCGAGTTTGAAATAAACGTCGACCAATCAGAGCAAAGCTAAAACGAAGCGGCATTCCACAGAAGATTTCGCTGTCACAAAACAAGCAGAGCGAACACGGGAAATCAGTCGAGCAGGAGAACAGCGTGAGAAAGTTGTAGACACATCCACGCATGCATAAATTTAGCTTCTCTCATTGGCCACGGCTTACACCCTGTTCTCACAAATGTGAACGGAATTCCCACATTTTATGACCTTATGACTACGCCTCTATGCCCTTTACACCACCGTCTGAACACAGCCTTATTCCCCTTTTTCGTGGATCAATTATTAGTTTGGGGAACTGATGTCCGCTTGGTTCTTGTCTGAAATTCAATATCTAAGGACTTTTGCTGGTTGTCTTCGATGTGGTCACTTGAGAGTCTCCATTTGAATTTCGGGGAACAGGATGTTCTCTCGACATATTTTTTTTTGGGGGGGGGGACGTGAGAAGCCAGCTAAGATGGTGCTTACAGGCCATGTGTGTTTCATCTAAGAGAATGAAAGACTAGACTCGACTAGAGACCTTGTTTCTTTCTGCAGTGTGAAGAACTTGCCATGACGGCGCTTGCAGGTCCTAGACGTTTCACCTACAGGAATCTACAACATCCATGTTCTCTCTAGTTTTCGCCATTCCAATGAAGGAACTTTGTGCCCTGTTCAAGTTTATTGTCAGCCAGATAAGTAATTATTTTTATTTCATGAAAGAATTAATAGCCTAGTAGCCTTTTACTACACTTGTATGAAAGTAATTTAAAAATATAATTAGCAGAACTCTAATTCATTCTTGGACTGGAATCCTTTCACACGGAGGAAGTTATTGAGGCAAAAGCTCCCTGTTATGTAAAACAATTAGAATGTCTTCCATTTTTTAAATTATTTCTTGTCCTAATATTTAAATACTTACTAAAAATGTATTTCTTTTCTATTTCATCTTGTCTATTAGCAATTACGATAAATAGTAAATAGCTATGGCTTAGGTTAGTTTTTTTTTTTTTTTTTTTTTGTTTTTTTTATTAATTTTGTATAAATATATTTAACCAAAAGACTTATTTAAAATGTAATTTATATAATGTAAAATATAATAACTTACTTATAATTTGAAAAATATTATTTTTTTTCTTTGGCATTGCATTTATCTTTTACCGATCCTTACCTGAGCATGGTCCCGGAATTAAAAAAAAAAAAAAAAAACAATGCAATTTCACTGCCAATAATTACGATCACACTTATGTTTAATTTGCTAGCACTATTGTTTCTATGATGATTTTGGGTTTTCCTAGCCTAGATAGTTTAAAGTTTAAATTAGTAATTAGTTACGGTTTCACCTGTCTGTTCTATTTTATTACAATACAGGAGCAGAAACTGAACAGTTCTATGAGGTTTCTTCCTTGTGCTACAAAATGTACACTGCCTGGATCTAAAAAAAGATCTGCCTGGAAAAAAGAGGCTCAAAGGAAAGGGAAAAGACAGGACAAGATGAGGATGACATGTCACTTGAGAAATTAAGCAACATTCTTTTGAAAATTCCTGGATGTTCAGAAGTTAATGCTGAGGATACAGCAGAATAGATAGTATATGATTCGTCAGACCCTGGGTTTCACATTTCTAAATGAAGACAAACTTACTGAAAGTGTGGGAGAAAAAGTGTCGAGGAAGAAAATGACCGGAATGACGAAATTCAAGAAGACATGGGACTATCAACTAGTGGAGCATTTGCTAGCCTTGAAACTGCGTTAAAGTGGATGAAGCGTAAGCCCGAGTGTTACCACATGCAACATCTCATTGTCAAGCGGATGTGCAACTTGGCTGCTCAAAAATAGGTGAAAACAGTCAAACAGCTTACTCTGACCGAGATGTTCAGCAAGCAATGACTTTTAGCACTTGTAAGTATTGTACAGAATGCTATATAACATGTATGTAAAAGTGTTTTGTTTTCATTTTAATTAATTAAAATCTCTTTTGCTTTAAAAATAGTTTTTTTTCCCCTCAAGTTTTCAACATACAGTACATACAGTAATTAATTAAAGTGTAAATGGACCCTTTCTTCAGAAAAAATCCAATTATCCAAATAGGGTCCGGTCCCAATTGATTTGGATAATTGGAGTTCTACTGTACTTTTTCCCACATGTAACTTTTTTCTCATTTGATTATACAATTAATAATCACTGTGAAATATTTTTATATTCATACATGCATTTGTTTTCCCTAAAGATCATGCATTATTCTCCCCCTTCTTTCATAACTCTCATCTCCAATGAACTATTTAACTAATAACTATGTCTAGCTCCTAGGTTATCATTATAACACATTTTAGATCCTTTAAATTTGCTGTGAAAATAAACATGACATATAATACTACATTCAAATTTAATCATAGCCAAGATTTCTTATTTGTATTCAACAAAAGAATTGGGCATATTTTAAACATAATTCATGTTAGCTCATATTTTTATATATTATGCTTATTATTATATATTATGCATTTTTATATTTTATATATGGTGCTATCATATTTTTACATCATATTGAATTTGTAATTACTTTATGACTACCTAATGTTTTGAAGAATGTATTTTAAAAATATGCTGAAATTTAATTTCTATTTGTCAGCAATTTTAATTATTTATATTTTATTAAAACATACATAATACTTCTCTTCACATACATGTATACACAATATCATATACATACATGTACAATTGCACATATACATGTACACACATTTACATAATACTGTTCATCATTCAACATGATTCAAGAATTTCAGATAGCATTTATAGAGTTTTCAGTATTTTCAAGCAGTGCATAAATGATGAATAAAGTAAATGAATGAATGGATTACTACAAAACTTTCTTAATTGGATAAAAACTCTCACAACAACCACCTTTCTAAAATTGTCTCTTAAGAAAACATGAATAATGACATTAAACATTACCAACAGACACATTCTCTAAGGAAAATACTTTCAGAGAAGATCTAAATTATATGAAGCCATGGGTGGTGATTTTTAGAGTGATTTACTGCATACATAAAGCAAAATTTATAGAGATGTAAAACAAAATTGCTTAAACATTCCTGTAAAAATCTCAAAGCATGAACAAATAAAGTTAAATTTTTTACCGCTTGCAAGTTTCCAAAATCACGCCAAAAGGAATAGTTAGGAATTTGTTCTAACCCCTTTGCACCAATAATAAGTCTCTTATATAAAAATCCACAAATAAGATACACAGAAGCAATTGTAAAAAATCTAAAAAATACAAAGGAAAAAACTGGGTATTAATAAAGACCATTAAACCTAGAAAGCAAGCTCTTATTTTTACTAAAGATATTCTACAATTTTTTTAACATGAAAAAGAAGAACTCAGAAGAACCTTTTACTAGAATATCTGTTAAAAATACATAATTTAAAGAAAACACACACAGAAATAAAAAATACTGCATATAAAGGGGAAAGAAAATAAGCAACAACTTAAAACAAATGTTTTCTTAATCTGATGATAAATAACTAAAAATAATCTAAGATATATGTTTCTTACTCATACTATTTTATTTGCAAGTAATTCAGCAACATAATATAGCTGCATAACTAAAAGGCATGAATACAGAAATGATAACTAGCTATAACCAAAATTATAATGAGAACATTTTTTACTTTATTCTAATTTATTGAACATTGTTACTTTTAACCTTTTACTAGCCCAAAGGGCTATTAGTCTAAAAATGGCCTTTTGTGTCATTTCACTTTCTGCATTGGTTCACTTTTCAAACTGTTGCCACCAAATATTATCACCATGTATTATAGCATTTAAAGAAACTAAATAATGAAGAATTTGCATGAATGCATGAATGTTTCTTGCATTGTAAAAAAGAGCCATCAAATTTTGAATAATGTAGTCCTTCAACTGAACATGGGCACTTGGAAGACCAAATTTTGAATATCAAATTTGTTTTATTATTTATTTCAAATTTTGTAAAACTTTTTCAAATTTTTCATTAACAAACTGAACGATTTCAAAGCGAGCAATGACAACACTGTACGAAAAAAACATTTTTATCTCCAGCCTGAGAGACTGTGTATCGGAAATTCTAAAGATATGCTGTTTTGCTGTAAATATTTTATGATACTGCTGTTGAATTAAATTTTATGTGTTTTAAGTGCAAAGAACATGAGATTCAATAAATAAAGGTAACATACAAATGCTCTTTTGGGCATAATATAAAATCAGAAAGCTTTCAGTTTTTTTGTTTTTTTAAATCTTTCTCAAACACAAATTATTATTAGCTTGAACATACCTCCACAAAAATGCCAGCTGATTTAGACAAGCGACATTTTATCTAGAAACAAGAATTCATAAAAATTGAAAAAACACAAACTGTGTTCAGAAGATCCGATCAAACTTTCTTCTCCAGTTACTAAAAAAAAAAAATTGCAATTCAGAATTGCCGTCCAGAATGTCTTTTATACAGAGGAAGAACATTTGAGAAAACAAAGAACATTTCAAAATGCTCTGCAAGAGAAAAAAAAACAAAGGACTTCATGCCATCTACTAGATGAAAAGTAAATGAGAAAATGCTGAAGGGCTAAGGGTAAATATGAGATAAAATTTCAATCATTAAACAAAACAGAAAGGTATTTAAAGATGCAGAAACATCAAGGAAATATAATTTGTAGCCTGAAGTATCTGAAGAGTTTTGACAGCTGAGAAGTATGATTTTTCAGCAAACATGTCTCCGAACAGATAATTTATGAATTTACTTTTTTAGCATAATTTCATATTACTTGATATGAAATTTCAAAACTTATAAAATTTAAGCAATGTATATTAACCTATACTGACAAGAAATATTATAAATGTCCCATCAATTTACACCTGGATACACCTGGAAAAGGGATTTTAAAGACTGAAATGTGGACTTTAAAAAAAAAAAAAAAAAAAAAAAAAAAAAAAAAATCAAACTAGGAGAATTGTGATTTTACATCATGGAACATGAAACTGCATTTAGAAATTTCAACACCATACACTTTGCAATATTTCACATCAGAAAATCACATTTTTCAGATTTCTCCTGTTTTAATTATTCAAAAAACGTTTTCATTTGATAAAGCCAAATTCCTTGAAACTTTAAAGCATTCAAAAAAATTTTTTTTTGGTTATAGTCTGGATTCAATTGTATTTTACCTGATCTTTGAAAATTTGATCCTCCAGTTCTTTCCATCATTTTTTTTATCATATATAGATGGCATTAAGTGTTTCCTTAATTCTCTCAAAAACTTTTTTTGTTTGTTTGTTTGTTTATGCCTAGGCACATGATTTTGACTCAATTTTCTTATTAGCAACTGGAAAAGCTCATGAATAGAAGTTTTAAGTGCTTATTTGTAGTCTATTTTTAGCATATAAAAAGAAGGCAGTTCCTTATCCAAAGATTTAACTGTGAAATATGATAGAGAGTTCCTCTCACATGAAAAGCACGTTTCTGGCAGACTTCTGCAATATGCAGTGATGCCATTTCAAAAGAATCCAGACTGATTTTAAAATTCACTTTATAATACATGATTTAGATTACTGAACTATAATATAGTTCTATCTATAATATGGTTCTCGTGTAAATTATATTCCTATTTAATTAGATATCCTAAATTTTATGTTTTTTAGCTAATTTCATTTTGTAACTTTCTTAACAAAATTAAATACAAATATTAACTGATTAAATGTCTATAACAGACAGGACAACTCAAATAAAATCAAAATCAATTTATACAATTTAAGTTCCAAAAATTCATAACAAATAATAACAATAATAATAAATTGTATTATTGCTTAGAAACATTTTTTTAACAAAGGCTAGAAATTAAAAAACCATTGAATTCGGTGATCTACCAGGAGAGATATGGTGTGGCTACATGCCACAATTCAAAATCTGTCAGAAGATTTGTAGTGGGAAATTAAATTTGGGGGCTAGGTTGGGCTGGAAATTTCCCAGACTTAAATCCAATCAAAAACTTGTGGAGCATTCTTAAAGAACATTTTACCAAAATGCATTGCACAAAAAAAGAGCCCATGATAAGAACACTTTAAAAGTTACTTTCCCTGATAAAGCATTAAAAATTGTATGCACAAGACTAGTACAGTCTATATTTAAGCATATTCTAAAGGTCATTTCTGCTAAAGAAGGACATATTTCCTATTAATTTTATTATTATCACTGTGTATGAAAGTATTTACATAAATTATCAAAAAAATTGCTTAGTCCAAATTAATTTGCATTTCATACATTACTAGCAACCCGCTCCGGCTTCGCACGAAAGTATAAAATATTAATGGATATTTTAACAATGAATCGCAGTTCATAATCTTTTTCTGAACTTACATACCTCACCTTAAATTACGATTTTTGAAAATAATTTCCCTAATATTAAATTGATTTAACTCTAAATTTTAACCAAGATCTTAATAGAAAATTCCAATCCATAAATTATGGTTTTATTTAATCTAATCTCTTATTATTAACCTTATGTACTTATAATTACTATAAGTGCGATTTAAAAATTAAGCTTAGAATAGAATATCATTTAGTATATTTTAAAACTATTGTCATATAATTATTTATCATAACTTACTTATAATTACTGATACGTTGTCGCGCTGAAAAGCTCGTTTTTATTAAGTATATTGTTATTTTGCTCGCTAGAGAGCTCCAATAATAAATCGCTACTAAATTCAAAGTGCTATAGGGAGAACCGCGGCCTTCGACACGCTATTTATAGGCACGCTCCCGCCGCCCCGGCCGGCCAGTACAGCCGCAAACGCTACGTCCCACAATTTTTAAATCTGTAGACCTTTTCAATGTGTACAATACTTAGTACATTATTTTGTTCAATCTCATAGGGTTCAGCCTGTGTTTGCAATGCAAGCGGAAAAAATGTAATTATTTACGACATCACATTAGAAACCTCAAAAATAACAGTATTTCTCCACTATTTAATGGATGTTATTATACATATAAACCTTCCTCTTCAATCACTCTATCTATTAAAAAAAACCGCATCAAAATCTGTTGCGCAGTTTTAAAGATTTAAGCATACATAGGGATATAGGGACAGAGAAAGCGACTTTGTTTTATACTATGTAGTGATTCACGCTTATTTCTTGGATATAGTTTTGGTATCCTTCTCCTGCCTGCAACAATTAATGCAGCATTTCTGAATGCTTCCATCATCAATATACGGATGCATTTAATGCCTATTTTTACATATTCTACTGCATTAAGCTTTCCCTTTTCAAAAGAATACTATCGAGTGAATCAAAAATATATTTTGCATCCAAAAGAATTATCAGTATGCATTTTCAATCTGAAGCATGTTAAATGTGTTTATTGAAAAACCAGATTGTCTGCACAAAATATTAAGTAAGCTTGCTTTTCAGCTGGCAATCATCTTTGATGATTAATTGTGAAAATGGTGATTTCCTTTCATTAAGGCTACTATAACCATACACAGTGTAAAATGTTAAAATACAGTGTAAAATGTTAAAATTTGACTTACAATTCGCCAAAATGTAAAAATACAAAAACATACATTTAAAATTTATTATTATTATACTTCTTATTTCATACAAAGTCTTATACAACTGCAAATATTCATTCTTGCAAACTACCATTAAAATCACTAAATTAGTTGTACTAACATTTGGAGAGACTGATATGTGCTACTTTTCCTCATTTTTCCTTCCTTGTATGGAAAACCTGAAATCACGAAAAGTTTTGGATATCATATTTAATGGAAATATCCATTTGGAACAATTCTGAATCCATTTGGACAAATCCCTCCCCAATGTCTGTATCTGCACAGAATAATTCTATATATACTCACTCCTTTACCCAGCTTTATTTTTGCAATCATTGGCCATAGTTATATACTTCCAGTTACAGAAGTATATTAACCTTTTAACTGTCAAGTTATTTTGATGATTTGGGTGCATAAATTGTCAATTTTGTTTTATTTCAAAAATCAAATGTTTGCCTTGTAGTCAAAAAAATCAAAAAAATTACGCGCACTTTGAACTATCCTTTGAAACCTTCAGTAAAATGCTACCATCTGTTGGACTGAAGCCGAAATAAACTTCTCACAATATATATTCAGGTATAACAATACGATGCACTCAACAAAAATTAGCCTGAGTAATACTCGGGCATAACATTTTGGAATACCAGTGCGGTGCCCGAGATTAATTCGGGCATGACAGTTAAAAGGTTAAATGATGAAAATATTCAAGTTTCAGCCATGTCAAATTTAAAAAAATATATATTACTTTTAACACTTTGTGATCTCCCGTTCCCTATACTTATATTTTAGAGAGTTTTATAATAGTTATGAAAAAATAAAATTATATGAAGTTTCACTTCAATATGATAAAAATTGACTAGGCTATTTAATTTCAAAATTTGCAGTTTTTGATATCATTTTCAAACTTGCCTTCAGGGAATGGTTATTCAAGTTAGAATAATTTTAAGAAGTAAATTTAAAGGAAGCGCAGTGCAAAATGTGTACGATTTAATAGGCCATACAACGAAATCATTCCGTACCCACATCAGACTTTTAATATATGCATTTAAGTGGAAAGATACTTAAAAATATTTAACTTACAAAATACAAAACACACTTCCAGAGCTCAACCCATATGGTAGCTTTATTCCGCTTGGTATTTTTGAACATGAAACATTGCTACTTAATTCAAACATGTAGTAACATGAGCCAACAAGTGATCGTCTTTCTTCTAGAATTTCAAAAGTGCCCTGTAAAGTAGAAAATTATACAAACCATCATAATTTTATAGACTAAATATAAGGAATTAAAAAATTCAACTTTTCTTAATTTTTCTAAAATTATAAGTTTTTCATTAAATTAATATTTCTAATAAACTAACGCGGCCGAGCGGTAAAAGTTGCTGAACACTGGTAGTTCGGTCCGAGGTTCGAATCCCGCGAACGGGCTGGCTGCATGGGCGTTTTCGTGGTTTTCCCCATGTGTAATGTGTATACGAGCCAGTTTCCCTTAGAAAGTCCTCCATGAAGGCATCCCTCCTCTTAGGCAATTAGCCCTCGAGGCTTTGCCATAATCACACACACACACTCTAATAAACTAACTATTATAATATTATACAAAATATTTATGATAAACATTAGATAAAACCTTGGACTTTAACACTTTCTCATAGCTATTAATAAGTTATTGCACCATTACTATCAACAATGCTAACCTATATACTATATAAATGATTCCATATCATAATGCATGAAAAAAAAGGAAAACACAGTTTATGCATATCTTTAAATATAAATGCAATCTGAGGAAAATTTGAGCAAGGATGCAATATGCAATCTAATGCTTTTAGTTATTTATTTTTGATGATTGGTTTTGAAAATTGGTTGTTGTTTTAATAATTTTTTTTCCCACTATTTTATTGCATGTTCCAATATAAAAGTTACCGAAACTTTTTATTTCATAAAGCTACTGAAATTAAAATTTAATGCAATCATTTTTAATTAATGTATTGTTATGAAATGTACAGGTGCGGTAAGATGGCTTCCCCACAAAGCAGTTTTGCAGTTGCCACATTTGGCGAGAAATTGCCCATTTGGAGACAAAATTGGCGATATGCCATGGACGGATGGAGAACCTTCTGGACTGAATTCTTACCGGTTTAGCCCAGAATTTTCTTGAACACAAGCCGAAAGCTGGTCTGCAGTCTGAAACCTGCTGGTCCACAGCAGTTTAGAGTGGCCTCATCTAGAGGGCGAGTCAGAGTGCGAGATAGTTAGTATCGAGTGTGTGTGCCTCGTCTAGTAAGCTGATAGTCAGTCATTGAGCGAGTGTCTCGAAGTCTAGCGCCGAGTTGGTCGTCGAGTGCATCGAGAGAGTCTTTTAGTGCATCGTCGAGTTTTGTCTTAGATTGTGCTGAGTTGAGATCTATACTCATCGAGTGCATCACGTGGAGAGTCTCGAGAGTACGTGGAGTTCCGAGAACGACCAAGCAGAGTTGGGAGCTGTTCACAAGTGCTTTGCAGTGAAGCTGTCTCCACCATTATTGCCTGACAGTGTGAAGGCTGTGTCGCTGAATGTATCAGCATGTTTATAACAGTTCGACGACTGTAAAAGTGATTTTGGAGCTATCTGATTAATATTGGTAAATAAAGTGTGTTTCGATACTTCATCAATAGTCGTCGTTATTCACTCCAAAACTATGAACGCCGTACGAATGCGAAGGAACAAAATAATGTAACAGTATTTTTCATATTTAAAAAATAGTGTTTCACATTTAAAAGTATGCCTATGTGTGTTACGGACATGTCTTAGAACAATTTTAAATTTAATGGAATTAAAAGTTCATTAAGTTATTAAATTAATTAATGGAATCATTTATGTCTTTTTATGTATTCTTAATAATTTGTATTTATTTTCGTATTTAAAAATAGCATTTTAATGATGCCATTTAAGAAACACATAACTGACTAGAAGTAACAGATTGCATACTATATCAATTTGATTTATTGCCTCCATGAAGGCACTCCTCCCCTTCGGTACATAGCCCACATATGCTTTACTATATTTAACATTTTGAAAACGGGATGGCCATTATAGTGGCCATAGAGTCCTCTCTTTGAAAAGACGGGGTTGTCCACTTTAGTGGCCATGTCTTTTTCCCCATTTCCAGGCTGAAAAGTGGGGTGAAATGTCAAATTTGACGTCCTTGGGGTTTTAACCACTTATCTCTTTCAAAGGTCTTCTTTTGGCGACATAGATGCACCCCTCTGAGAATCCATTAAACTACACACAAGAATCGTGGTTGCAAATAGGAGGTGTTTTCTTAACGGGGGGAAAGAATTCGGTTCAAGATTCCCCCGTCCTTTGGTAGCTTTTACTGCTACCAAAGCCCCGGCCTACCAACCTAATTTGTGCTTGATTTCTAACTATGAAAATTAGAACCTCACCAAAAGTCAGTGAAATTATACAATCAGGATAGATATGATAGATACAGCATCAATGCTTGAACTTCTAATAATTCTAAACTTCAATCGTCATTTGCTAGTTAAATTTTGGTTGAATGGCAGAAGAAGTAGAAACGGAGATGCTAAAACCTTCACTGATATAAAATTAGTAATATATGCACATTAAAGGACAGCTATTTAAATTTTTGAAATTTTATAAGAAATCTGATACAACAGCAAATGTAACAAAAATAATAACAATGTGAAAATAAATACAATGGTAACAATCATTCATTTTATTAATAGCTACTAGAATTCAGGTCTTGACAAATATATTTTAAATTATGATTTTAAGGACGTAATGAAACTACACTTCTGAAGAAAATGAATTTTAGAATGGTAAAGTAGTTTAATTCTTATATAAAAAATTATCTTCGTAGGTTTATTTAATAAAGATAAATGCCCTGATTGGCTATCAAATCCAGAAATAAATGTGGATGATTTTTAGATAACCTTTTAGCTTCTGTAACTTGACTGATAAATTTGATCTTTGGATGACGGAAAGTTTGTATCATGATTAAAAAAGTGATTATTCTAAACCTTATGTTTACATAAAAATATACTGCACTTTGAAAGAAAAAAAAAAAAAAAAGAATCTTTGATGGTTGTTGAATCACAAGTAATGACATCATGAGATTTTTTACTCATATATGGGGCAGTAAACCTTCAATGCAAGCCAGTAAACCTTCAATGAAGGAGCTGATGAGAGAAAGAATGGCTGACAAGTTGGAGTAAATTTCACATATCTCGTACTGAATAATGTGAACTCCATGTAAAATGAAGTATATTAGCTACAATAAAAGGATTATAGTTCATATCCATGTTGTGCCCAAATTCATTGTGCAAACCAGCAAAACTCCTATGTTTGACATAAAACTGGTTGTATGAAGCCAGAGGACTTTCATTTGATTAAGTATTGCCTATAATGTAATGTCCAGCTGGATAATCTAAATCTAAACCAGTAAGATGTTTTGATCTATTTTAAATATGAACCAGGAAGATTTACTGAAGAGAAAGAAAATATTAAAATCACAAATAATGAAATGTAAAGATAAATTCAACATGGAAAATGTTACTTTTAAAATGTTTGCTTTTAAAGAAGTATAATTTATTCAGTAGTGAATTGACAGAGATATTTGATCAGTTATATACAAAATGTGAGGAAAATGACATACAAAAGTATATTGAGGAGCAGTTTAACATTCAAGAAAATCTAGATGAAGTAATCCTAAAATTAGCAAATCTGAGGTACTTAAGTTATTTTTTGACATCAGAGATAAAAGCTGAGGGAATGACTTTGTCGAATGGTCGAAAGTTACAGTATTTAAATTGTCATTAAAAGTGATGCATATTATATTGTGCAATCAGTACTGATAATAGAATAACAAATATGCCACAGCATGGAAATTACTGGAGGAATTGGAGGATTGATCATGAGTTAATATTATCACATATTAGAAGACTGATGTCATTACCTTCAATTCAAAATCAATTGGCTTCAACAATTGTGAGTTTAATGGACATGGTGAATGAAGTTGTTCATAGTTTAGAGGAGTTACAACAGAGAAAGAGAACTTTGGTGCTATATTGTATTGTTAGTTTATGTAGTTTTACAAAATCTGGAGGCAGAGACTGTTAAAGAAAGAGGAAATTCCAAGATTAAGTGACTTGATAGAGTTTTTAAAAGAATACATTAAGGCATTATAAAATAATAAAACATAAGAGGAAATGATTATAAGAGTAATAACAAAGTATATACATTTATTGCAAATGCTAAATGCACCTACTTTCAAGATCACAATTTGCTAAAGTGAGCAAAATTCTTCCAAATAGACTGGCAGAAGAAAACAGAATATGTAATAAGTAATAATTTATAATTCAACTGTCTTTCACACATGCATACAGTTAAATATTGTAAAAATATACACAAATGTAAACTGTGTGGGAAACCTCATCATAGCATACTGCATATAGAGAAGTTAAGAGGATCAGATTATAAATCATTTTCTTCCCCACGAACCACTCCACTTATTCCTAAAACTCATGAGTAATCAGTTCCAACTCCAAGCTCAAACAAATTATCAAAATCTACAGTCATCTGTGTGAGTACTTCGAATACTAATACGATTTTACTCTCTTCTGAAGTAATTAAGGTTCCTAATGCAAAGGAAGAGATAGCAAAATGCAGATGTTTGTTGGATATTGGAAATCTAAGGTCATTTATTACTAGAGAGTGTGCAGAAAGATTGGGTTTAAACATGAAGGAGAGTGCAATTTCAATTTTATGTTTAGGCACATTTAGCACCACTGTGAGTAACGGAAGAGTTATTTATTATTTACTCCTTAATTCAACAGCCCTTTAAGAGTTTCCACTACAGTTTTCATAAATGAAAATATTAGTTACAACTTCCCTTTTGACTCTTTAACCTGCAAATATTAGTGATAATTTTAATGATCTGGTTAGTGGATAGATCATTTTATAAATTAAGCAGAGCTGACATTTTATTAGATATATATGTGTTTTTAGCATTAATAGATGTAAGTGTGGTAGAAATTTGCATTTTGCTGTGAATTTAAAAGTAGATTGGATTATTATAGAAACACCAGCTTTTGAGATGCCTAAGCAAAATAATCCAGTGTCAATAAATTATGTCAGAATAAATATTGAGGAATTAGTCAAACCATTCTAGAAATTAAAGATTTGCAGCTCCATAGAAAAGAAGAAAAATTACATGAGGTTCATTTTCAAAAAATCTCATACTCGAAATAAACATGGAAGATACTGGGTTCCTTTAAAACCTAATAGGAAAGATTTGGGTGATTCTCACGAAATGGCTTTCCACAGATTTCTTTAATTTGAGAAAAGACTTTCTTCAGGGCCAAAAATTTATAATCAGTACAGAAATTTCAAGTAAGAATATTTATTGCTGGATAGCATAGAATTAATTTCACTAATGGATTGTTAATTGGAAAATGAAAGCATTCATATACCTCACCATTTTGCAGAACTGCCTGTGTGCCATAGTTGACAACGAGGGGGTTAAAGGAATTATCAGCTCATGAAAGTGGGAATTTTCCTAAAACCGCTAAGGGATTTTTATGTAGATGATCTGTTGACAGGTGCTGATAAGGGTCATTCCCACTGGGATTTATCTGAGCTAATGGATTCCCACTGAGATTTATCTGAGCTAATAAATAGCGATGCAGGTATCCATTCAGTTATGTTTAGCAATTTTGATATAAATTATAATAATGATCTGAAATAGTTATTTACTCTTATGCTTCCATTCAGTCATGTTTATCATTTTTTATATAAATTTTAATAATAAAAGAGTATTATATGAAATTAACCTTTCATCTAAATTAAAACATCAATCTTAGATGGTTATTTACTATTATACATCCTTTCTTGCGTTAGGGTTGCCGCAATTATTTTTGGCAGCACTGGCATCAACAATAGCCCTCAAAACAGAATAGTACTGGTAACTCTCCTGTACCTACTCCAACAGCAGATGAAGAGTGTTTATACTCTTCTGTAAATGCATTCTTATAATTTGGGATTTTCTAGGAAAACAGAATTTCTCTTGGCTTAACCAGTCTGGATCAGTCCATCAAAGTTTATGAACTACCAAATCAACTGGACAAATAGTGTGAAACATGATTTGCTAGGTTCTCCTATCCTTGAATGTGATTCCAATATTCAATTGAACCAATAGACTGAGTCTATGATAGTTTGTTGGCAGCAAATGTTTCTATCTATCTCTTAAATTCAGACATTTGCCAAGATAACAGCAGCACACATTTAACCGTGGTTTTATATGAGAAATTTTTTTGCCATCAGCAGTTTTACATAAATAGTTTAATGATTAGCTGATCTAACATAAATAGCTGCATTATAACCTTTCTTTGATGCACACAAAACTCATGTCAGAGTTATGTATAAAAGGGTATTTCTACCCTTTTAGAATTAATTGTTGAATTTCTGTACACATAATCCTCCACTTTTCCCCCGATTGAAACTGGATCATCCCAGAGTTTAAATTTTCAAAGCTCTTGAAGAAGAACAAAAGGTGTAATCCAACCCAAAAGGATCGAATAATTTTGCTATTGATGATGATATAGTATTGTTACGAATTTGGTATTTAAAAAGCTAATGTTAGTTCAATTATAAATTAATTGGTTTTATTTCCCACGCAGTGCAGCGCGTGACGAATATTAAAAGAAGAAAGCTAAGCCATAAAATTGAAAATACAAGAGCGCGTGCATTAAATAAATAAATATCTCTTTTTGATTTCGGGAAAGTACTGGAAAATTCTAGCGCGTGATTTCAAAATCTTATAAAAGGAGGAAAACATCTGTTTGTAGTAGTTGCTTAGTTTGTTGTTGTTTAGAAAACTGCTCTTGTTGATTGTAGCGAATTCGCGGATTAGCGTTCTTTAGCTGTTTTGAATTATGTTCTATTGAACATTTGAGTAGTTAAAAGATAACTACTGTGAGATATTGTAATACTGCATGATAATTTGAGAAAATTTAAGCATTTTTGTTGTGATAATAATAAATTTTTGTTTATTTTTCATCGGACTTGTGCATTCATTTTATAACGAACACGTACGCACGCAACAGTATGCTTCGTTGGAATGTCTTGACAATTTAACGTCACAGGTTTGCAGAAGAATTCATTTTTATCAGGCTCTTGCTGAAGAACTTTTCTGTAAATCATATGAAGTTTATCATTAATTAACTCTTTATTTTTCTGTTTTCTAGAACTGTCATTTCATTTATAAACCATTTGCTGAGCTCAAATCCATCTTTTTAAAGCAGTTTCATTTCAGCTACTAGCTCAGAACCCTCTTGAACATTATAGGGTCGTTCCCACTGGGATTTAGCTGAGCTAACGGACACAATTGACGTAGTCGACCCATCTCCAAAACCAGTTTTTTCCCATAGGGTAGCAAGTTGAAAAATATGAACTGCAGGCATAGTGGAGCTATGCTCGACACTGGAACTGGGATTTATCTGAGCTAATATTGAAGCTAATATATATAATAAACGAGTATTGTATGAATTATTATATCTGAGATAATATAATAATTCATATAATACTCTTTTATTATTAAAATTTATATAAAAATGCTAAACATGACTGAATGGAAGCATAAGAGTAAATAACTATTTCAGATCATTATTATAATATATATAAAAATTGCTAAACATAACTGAATGGATGCCTGCATCGCTATTTTGCTACCGAGTTTTCGCTATAGCATAATTTCATCTCGTTGGTTATTCAAACATCACTTTCAATAATGAATGATTCCTTTTCTTTGAAAAAATTCTCGGTAAAGTGCAGAATCATCCACTTATTTATTTGCCGCTTTTTACAAAGGTAAAAATAATTAGATTTTTGTCAATTTTCTTTTACTTTTTAAGTGAAAATAGGGCAATGTGTACACAGATAAAGTCAAGGGTGTGCGCAGTGCCCTTTTTGTGCAATTCTAGGATTTTTTTTAAAGTAAAAATAGGTCGATGTGTACATGGATACCGAGTATGTCCAATTCTTAAAAACGTGTCAAGCAGTGGGTGATTCTGCACTTTACCCAAAATTCTATTGCAGACTTTTCGTAATGGGCAATTCCCAAATTGTTAAATTCATAGGATATCAAAAAAGGATTTAAAATCAAAAAGGATTTAAAAATTTAACTAGTATTTCCATTACGTCTTAAGAAATATAGAACTATATAAACTTACGCAATATGAAATCAGCGAGTACACTAGATTTGGCGCGCTGTTAAATGGACGCGTTTGCTAGATTTGGCACTTTTGCGCATACATTTTCTCTGCAATTTTTTTCCGGTCCTCAAAACGGAATAGTACCGAGTTACCTATACACAAATCAATATGATGTCAAATTTGTGAAATTCTCTAATGCTGTTTAAAGCAAAAGCAGACTGTTGTGCACATGGGAAGAACAACAGTTTCCTTCTATGTTCAGTAAACTCTTTTCACTAAAAAGGTCATCACTGAACTAAGGGAGATCATTAGAGAATCTGGCATTGTACATATCATATGAAGTGATATAAATAGGCTACCATATTTGTTGCTTCAATACACATATGGTGACTGGCATTCCGTTAACAGAAAAATACCAAAAAAATTTTTCCACATTTAATTTCCATTTTGTTATGAAGTGTTTTACACAGAAAATTTTTCAGAATGTCTTATTTTGATTAGGCAAATATTTAATATTCGAAATACTAACATTTGCAATTAAAATATGAAACAGACTGAATTCATTTATGATGCCTATTATTTTCTTTCCTTATTTCATTAAGCCAACAGAGAAATCTGAAACTTTCAAATGCATTTATAAGTATTCCATCAAGAAACTACTTAACCAAAGGAGATAGTACTGAGAGAAACAATACAGGGGGCACTTATCTAGCTCATTTAGTGCAGGTTATTCCGCAAACAGTTTTCCAATACTTATTCAACAAACGAGGGCATTCGTTTTAGAAAACAATTAATTAAGCTAATTTCCAGAATTTTTTTAAAAACCAGGATCTTGCATCTCAGATGAATAAAGCTAGCACCAAAGATCTGCTATTCATTAGTAAACATACAATCAATAAGAATGCACTGAAGCTAAATTTTCTTATATGCACCTCATTAATGAAAAAAACTTGCTGCAACAGCACAGAAGCAGCTTGACTGTAACAGTATAGCTCTGTGTTGATGTGCTATGAATTTCTATTCTAATACCTAATTGTTTATAATCCACTTAACAATATCAGGAAGTTGTCATCCTAACCAATAGTAATACTTTATGACTACATGTTTAAATCAACATAAATTTTTATTCAATCAAAGCCTATATAAAATATAATATCAAAGGGGAAGAAGGGGGTCTGCTTTTTATGATACTAAATTTATAATTAGGATACCAATTTCTGAAGAATTCACAAAATCAAGTCTTATTAGCCGAAAAAGATACTTGAATTAAACCTTACAAACAACTTTGTATAATTCCCTTAATACTTGAATGGAAGTTTAATATCTTGACAGGAAGCTCACCAACTAAATCTAGTCTGTACGTGAAAAAAGTAACTATGAAAAACAGAATCTCCTGTTCTACAGCAGCATGGGTTGTTTTTAAGAAATGCCCATATTTAACTCACTTATGGATGACTTAAATTTGTAGAGCCTTCTAGTCTAAGTCTAAAAAGCTTCACATATTATCATTAACTAATTAGTACTAACAATTTCTTTTTAAGTAATTTTTCATTCTCACATTGCTGGAAAACTGAAAATGATAAGTTACAGTTACACAAAGAAAATGTCTACTTACTGCTAAAACATCAGGATCACAGATTATCATGATCTTCGTAACTCTTCCAGTTCCATTGCAGTGCTTATGATAATTTTCACCACCATAATATGATAAAAGTATCCAGTCAGCTAAAAGAAAGATGATATTTGGTATGCACACTTTTAAGCATTTAAGTGTTTAATAGCATTAAAAAATAAAACAAATACATGACAAGTATTTATTTATTATAAGAATATACTATAAATTAGACATTTTTCTGAGAATATATTAATAAATAAAACTTCGTATGTATTTTATTTAAAATATACAAATTTTTAAAATTTTTTAAATGATTTATTTTAATGAAAAACCATTCTTAAATTTACTTTTACTTTTCTAAACATTTTAGTTTTATAATAACAATGACTAACATTAACAGTGTTGAATTAGGTAAATAATTCCCTTAAACATAACTGGAATTCAATTTGGTAAACTTCGCAAACCTAATAAAGTAAAATTCTTATAAAATACGTAGAAATATTTTATTTTGTAAAAATACATCAGAAAAAATTTAAAGAAAAAGAAAGAAAGAAAAGAGAGATGATTAACACATTCAAGGCAGAGCCAATTCTGATACATTTTCTGTTCAGTTCAAGAAAAGTTCTTAGCCAGAACTGAAATACACAGAATATAAACAGAAGATAACACACCCAAAATGGTGAAATACAGTATCAATAATGACATTTCACAAAACATTGGTTGCTTCACTGTTCTCAAATTAAAATAAAAAAAAAAATTTCGACTTGCGATACTGCGATAGCTTAGAGGGGGGACAAGAAAAAGCACACAAGGTTTAAAAGTATAAAAGTATTGTGTATGTTACAACAGAAATGTAAAATTATTTATATTCAGAAACAGATTCAGGAATGTCTTAATGTTTTGTGAGATGTATAAACCTTGTTTAAAAGTTTTCATTAAATTATATTAATTCACTGTTTGAGTCTTAAACATTATCCTCTGTTTTTAATTGTTAGGAGATTTAAATCCTAGCTTGTCATGGTGATTTAACATATTATTGGTCAAACTCTAAAATTTTGCATTCAAAGAACACAAATCTAATGTTCAAAAAGGAGAAATAAGCACATATTTGATAGCTAATCACAGATGAACACAATTTTGAAAACTGACAATTTACTTTGAAGATTATCAATAAAGCTTCTTCAGTTAGTGAAATGGATTTCAATGTAGTATTTGATAATCACAAAAATTTATTTTCTTTAGTTAATGACCTTGATTCGAATCCAGTTCTGCCTAATACTTTCAAATTTCTAATGTCTTAGTTTTTCACATATAATGATTATTTTCTTTGACAGATGTTTCTTTCCATTCTGGAGCAAAAAAAGGAAATCAACTAATTGTTCCACTTACTGCTTCTGATACAAAATAGTTGTCACTCCTTCAATTTTTGAAGAAATCATTCTGTTCCAGAAGAAGATGAACCACCTATGTCTGATCCCCTCTCAAAATCAATAAACTTTAATTCAAATTTTATGCCAAACTTAAGTTGCTTTTTAGTTTCATATTAAATTGAGATGTTTAAACATATTCTTTTTGTTGTATTCCAAGTTGCAATGGTTTTATACACAATTGCGATATATTTTGCCTTAAATATATATGCTTGTAGAATTTGCCAGCAGTGAAAGAACCTGAGGTAACATTGCTGCAAAATTGCTAAAGGGAATGATGAGATGCATTTGGTAGATGACCAAAGCAGTGTCAAAGTTGTGCCAGATGCTGAGTTTGTGTAATTCTCTGATTTTTTTTTTAATGTGAAAAGAGATTGCTGTGTACATAAAAAACAGTGCAAAAAATTACAAAAGGATTTTGTGTTTTAGTTTTTATACAAAATTTTTATTTAAGAATTAAAATTTGTATTTTAAATTGCTAAGGTGGGTTTTCTTTTTGTATCTTAGTAATTAATGTTTGCCGATTTACAATAAATATCGCTATTTTGTGCAATAGCAATACTTTGCAACCTTCTTTAAAAAAAATTGCAAAAATCATTAGCTTGAACTTAATAAGCAAATTTTACCTTTTCAAATAAAAAAAAATTGCATTAAGTTGATTGAGTTAATATGTAGGTACTTAATTATTTATTAATAAAAAAATAGCCAATCCATACAAGATACAAAATTAGTATTTATGCAGTATTTTTAAACCATAATAAAATAGTAACAGTAATTGATATTTTAAGAAGAAACCAAATAGAGATAGATATATACTGCTAATATTAGTTTTCATATAATTTGAAATTTTGAAAATTTTTATTATAGAAATATTTATGATGCAAGTCAATGTATGAATAGTCAAATAGGAAGCGAAGAATGGAATCAAATTCAAAGTCATCATTAAGTTATCTTGGGTACATTTCAAAAAAAGAACAAAATTTGATAGCACTTGAAATTGCATACACGGGATTACTAACTAAAGGAAATAACAGATCATCAAAAAATTTTAATTATTAAACTAGATATCTTAATAAATTGCACTTGAATTCTCCAGTGTACCTCTCACAAAGGTCTTTAAACCTCATGTGTATGTGTATATATATATATATATATTTAAATTTAAACAAATTTATGTAGTTAAATTTAATTTTTTTAATTAAACTCAATTTATTCTTATGAAACAATATATATGTAAATATAGTAAAATGTAATGCATTGTAAGTGTAAATATAAAATGTAGTGTAATGTAATATCAGATGTAAATATAAATATATACTTATATATACAGAGAGAGAGAGAGCAGGTTCCATATTGATCTGAAATGAATGCAGCTATTTTTACAAAAGATAATGATAAAAATTAGCTGCTGAATACCTACAACTCATTTAAAATATGAATTAAAAGATAACTTTCTGACAAAATATGTCATGCTTTCAAATATTAATTTTCTTCTAAAAGGTTCAAAGCTTTACCAAATATAACTCAATGTTTCACAAATTCTATGCTTTGACATGCTGGTTGAAGACATGCTTTCTTTATCTGCACTATATTATTTTTATTACTGTTCAAAAATCAGTTCATCAACAAAGGTACAACAACAAAAAAGCACAAAAATATTTATCAAAAAAAAATATTATGAAGCACTGAGTTTAATTTATCTCATTATAAGCTGAGTGAGTGACAAGATGTCGTACTGTAAAAATTATGCTATGAAATATAAAAATTGTTTAGCAAAGTGCACAAAATGAAAAAACATGTGAAACAATAGATTACTTTGCATCCAGCTTTTTATTTAAAAATCTGCTAAGATCATGTTAAGCATTTGATGATCAATAGGAAGACATCTCCCTTTTTTGGCATTACTGCTAATCCAGAGTGAATCTGCTAATTCTAGAGCCCCCACTCTCAATGAGAAAAGGAATTAAAGTATTTATTTAACTGACCAGAAGGAGAAAAAAGTAACTGTTATAGTGTTTGCATCATTTTAGGCCTATGTGTATATAATTTGGAAACATCATCAGACTGGAAAACTACTACGCAGTTCTGCTAAGTTATCACTACGAATGTTTTTGTCCAGTTACAATAGAATTTTCCTAATAAATCTGGTAAGGAAATTGTTACTTTTGCTGCTGATTTTCTCTGACAAGCATAAATTGGATGAAATCAAATCTGAAAGAAAACGGTGGATTTTTGTCTCTAGGGAAAAGAGCAAACTCTGAAAGTCGGTACTCGCAAACCCAAATCAAAAGATACAATGGGCTAACTTTAGAAATAATACAAAGAAAAGTTTGTTTTTAATGGAATGAGCTGTAAAAAGGTCATCCTAGCCTTGTAAGTTTTCTCATGTTAGATTGCCGTGAGGTATAGCATGATCATATGGCACAATTGGGAAGGTGCAGCTTTGCAGATTGCAGACTTGCATTTGCAAGAGTATTCTGTGCCTGCGACTTTACTTTTATACAGGGTCAAGTAAAAACAAAGCACACAAAGAAAATCTAGATATTTCGAGCTTTTCGTTTTGCTTTCTTTTAATTAGGCCAAATAATTTGGTTCAATTAATTATGAAGTTTTACAATATTTCACAGTGAATAAGCCCTGTGAAGAAGCCGCAGTACACAATATGGGAACCACTGGGTTAAACTGTAAGTAGTGAAATGACAATGAACATTTAAGTAATACTGGTAATGACAGCACTGTTTCTTGTTTCTTTCCTTTCCATTTCTCAGAATTTGTTATTTCATCATCTTTATTAAAATTTCTCCAAGATCTGGGTCAAAAGTTGTTATCTTTTATAAGCTAAGGTAGGCCATACCATCACAATTTAATTTTTTAAAGGGTTTCTACCTTCTGTCCTCTCGTCAATAAGTTCGAAGGATTTTCATGGCTGGGACAATAATTCCACCAATCTGGATCAGTTTTCATTTGGGTTTCAGCACCATGTAGAAATCATTGCACTTTTTTCTTGTTCTTATTTTTAATATTTGATAAATAATCTTTTGCTTACCTTTTTTGATGATTTTACAAGACGCTTGGAATTCTTTGTCATTTTGGTTTTCACACAAAACTTTATTTTTACAACTATTTACAACAAAGCTGTTTACATTAGAACGCTCATCATTTTACTTTTATCGCCACTACATTTTTATCAAAATCCGTAATGCAGTAAAACAATATAACGAGCATAAAAATAAAAAAGCCACGCCCTCTCGAGGCCAGTAACATAAACTGTAACACCCCTCTCGATTATCATATTATGAAATTAGTTATTAGGGATGCATAATATTACATAAAATTATGGATACATGAGTAAATATAGAATATATAGTTAACAAGAATAAGCAAAGTACACAGCAAAAGGTAAAACCTTTAGTATCAGCCAGGATAAACCCACAACATGTGTTCAGTATTTTAAAGGCCAAGTATCAGACAGCTATCTGCTCCAGAATAAAATACCTAGAAGACTTTCAAATGCTTGGATGTTTGGCATTTACATTACTAGCTCATAAAAAGTTGAACCCCAGTCAGATTATTTTCAAATAGTACTTTTCATTAGTTTAAGTCACTAAGCTTCAGTTAAATAACACTTAATTCAAAGTTTATATGAAAAAAAAAAATTAAGAATTCTTACAAAAGTGCTGACAGATCTACAGAAACTCATTTAGATAAAGCACATCAAAAGCTTAAAAAAAAATTTCGATACTTACTACCCCGCATTACATCAACCTGGTCATACCTCCCTATAGTATGAGTTATATTATTTTTTTCTATCTGCACAGCACCAATACCAGAGTCTTTTCCATCAATTTTATCACAGATGCTAACTTTATAGGTATATTCAGGTGGATCAAAAAGATCTTGTGTTTCAAATCTGAAAGAGAAACTAACTACTCAAAAATACAAAATGAGAAAAAACGTAAATACATAATGCAGAACTATCAGTTGCTCATAAATAATAATAAAAAAATAATTTCATAAGAAAATTTTTAAAAAAATTTAGGTGACTGATATTTAAATTTGGTACTTTTCTGTTTTGCCAGCGCAAGCAATAAAATCGCCAATAATGGTACAACCGATGCCAAAAGGAATATTCTCGCTGGTAACCTTTTACGCCTCATTTTCAAAACAAGTCGCAGCTTTTTCTTATCAGATTGATTGTTTCTTTCAATACTGGCATATCATTACACAGAATTTTTATCAGATGGTTCAGTTTTATGTCTAAGGCAATTTTCGGTAATAAAGTCAATTAGGATGCAATCACAGCGCTTACCTGAAGCCGAAAATATAGAAAAGGTAAAGTCAAGGGTTAAATTCATCAATTCTAATGAGAATGCATTAGCGAAGTAAAGCACTGCAGTTTTACATAATTTCTGAGTAAGCTATTCGTACGAATTGAAATATTTCTTGCATTTAAACTTGTGTTCCAAATTAAGATTTAACTTGAAATTAATGTAGATAATTACTGAGAGCATTAGATTTTTGTAGAGTAGTTTACGTGAGATGAGATCGCTTGGGGTCACGTGATATGAACCGACGAATCAGGATGTTGAACCATGAAAGCATAGTAAATTCTTAAATAAATGCCTTTTTACAAATTTGTTGTCTTTATGGCTTTTTATAAAATTTTAAGCAATATTAAAATGTTTATGCCTTCTTTTTTAAAAAGAATTCTTAGAACTAACATTTTTTAAATATTTTTTATGTGTATACTGTATGTTGTCGCCAATAAAGTCTGCTTGGCGAGATTTGCGCCGGCGAAACGGAAAAGTACCTTAAATTTGTATAGCCAACAAATAGCAATCACTGAAATGATAGTTACATGTAAAATTGCATAAATCTGCATGCATTGACACGAGTGTGGTCATAAATTTGATTTTATTAAGCCCTATAAATTTATCTCTACCCTGAATCAAAACAGTATGGATCAGAATGTTCAGTACAGTATGTTTATTATTGACATTATTATGCCCACTCTGGCTGCTGTCTCATTGTGCATGCGTACACATGCACACACACAAAAAAAAGGAGTTGCAATTGGAGAACTTTTTTAAACACTTAAAAAAATCTGTTATTCACAAATTCTCTCACACTAAATGCTGATTCAATATGTCATTTAATGCATTAAAATGGCACTTTCTGATTATATGAACTTCCAATGAAAATTCGTGAACTTGTTGGCGACTCTGGAGAGCATTCAAAACGTGTCGATGACTTTAACAAACAAATATCTGTTTGATTACCTTTAAATTCTATATCAAAGATGCATTACAGCCATCTATTTTTTTTTACATTCTTCCATACAAAACAGGTACACCTCATTTTTTTTGCACTGTTGTTATTTCCATGTATGTAGCAATATGTTTCTGTTTTTAAAAAAAATTTAGAAAATTGAAAAAAAAAATTGCACACCCAAAAAAAGTAGAGAATTGCATTATTTATAACCTTGTACCAAAATTCTTTCAGCAAGCCACCTTGTGCTCTATGAATGCAAAAAGATTTGGTGAGCACAAGATTTCACTAAAGACAATGAAAACTGCACGGTACGGCCCACTGAAATTCCCATGGGAGAGATCACAATATGGAGTCATGCTAGTGAAACTATTCAGAGAAGTAGAAAGTTGTCTGGGGTAAGATACGTGCATACCTGGATTGCTACATAAACTCTGTTTCATCATCGGTTGCCACGTAAATACTTTTTGGAAACATGATGTGTTGACTCGTCAATACTTCTTCATGGCTTTATGGTAAAAGTACAGAAAATCTGAAGAGACTTTAAAAATTTATAAAACTGTTAATATTAAAATAAGAAATAATAATAAAATTTTTAGTCATTCAAAATTTAAAATCAAAATGTTAGATACAGTACAAAGTCCAAAATCCAGACTCGTCGGGACTTCGGCATGACTCCATATTGTGATCTCTCCCATGGGATTTGGGATTTTTCCGGATAATAGATCATCCGTTTAAATCTACAAGATGACATGTAGAAATTATAAAATAAAACATATGAAATCACGATTTATGAAATAATGAAGTATTTATGATCTAAAGGGTACCAAAATTTACAAAAAAAAAGTTTAATACAGTCAAACGTCGTTTATCCGGACTCGTCGGGACTTCGGCGATTCCGGATTATCAATTTTTCCGGATTATAGATCATCAGTTTAAATCTGGTAAGATGACATGCAGAAATTACAAAATTTAAAATATGAAACCATAATTTATGAAACAAAGAACAATTATGATATAAAGGGTATCAAAAATTTATAAAAAAAAGCTTAATATTTATTTGTTTACTTTATTAAACATTTCTTTCAATGTAAGTTGTTTAAGTTGCTTCGCTTCATGTGATAATACTTTCTCTTTAATTCTATTAAACAGACATAATTTCTTGTTTGGTTACAATGTTCTGCTGTTCAAGTCCTATAATTGCTTTAAATCATATCAAAGACGGAGTACATGACATGAAATACTACATTTAGTAAGGAATTATAAGCCAAATAAAATAAAAACATCTGCCGTGAAGATAAGGATAGTGCTGACAGATCAACTTCCAATTCATTACCCGCCACGGCGTTCCCCTCCCCCCCGCAGAGCAGCGTGAAATTGATAAACAGATTTCGGATTTCGAAACATACTTTCGCTTTGTAAATCTTTTACATATTAGTAAATATATATCGGAAATTCTATTTGACATAATCCAAAGTTCAAGCTTACTTTTATAAAGTTGCTCTAACAGTCTACAAAAAATAATAAGCCAGATCCAATTCGAAGATTAAGGAACAACGCAATCTGCAACATTAACTGAATTAGATAATTTTAGCTTAGCTTATACCGTCCGTTATATATTAAACGCACATGTGCACACACATAGTTGCAGCCGTAAAGGTCTTACGCGCCCGCGTAAACACCTATGCGTCAAAGCGACGCATGCGCAGAAAGTTTGTAGCTTTGAGGTCCGGATTATGCGTGTCCGAATTAACGACTTTTGACTGTAATTATTTGTTTACCTTATTAAACATTTCTTTCAATGTAAGTTGTTTAAGTTACTTCGATTTTTTTTTGCTAGTACTTTCTCTTTAATTCAGTAGACCGAGATAATCTTTTGTTTAATTACATTGTTGAAGTCCTGTAACTGCTGGTTTGAGGATTCCAACTAACTTGTCAATCAAAGTTTTCTCATTTTCAGTAACTTCTCTGTCACCTTTGTCACAATTGGTAGCAATATTTTCTGGATCTAGAACCATACTACAGATTTCGCCATTCATTAATTGATTGATGATTGAGAAGCACTGTCATCACAATGAAAAACTTCTTTTATATCATCTTCATTTATACCTCTTCTCCACATTTCTTTACAAAATCCGTTAACTGGAAAATTTCACTTTTGTTTTGGGATATTAGAAAACTTTTAAAATTAGCGGCTGTCATCATCAAATTTAACTATCCTTCACTACACATATTTGGCTCTGCAGCATGAGCTTGGTGACTAACGACAGGTTGTTCCGTTAAATTTTATCTTGCTTCTATCACACACTGAGACAATTAAGCCTGAATTGTATTAGTTTAGTTATTTATTATATTTATGTCTATTTCTTGCACATGCTTAAGGCTTGAGTTCTGAATAAATAAATTTCCACATATACTTAAACTTTATTGAAGGCCGGTGCTAGATATCTTACCGCCTGATGCAGTCTCTGTGGGTCCTGAATTCTGCGACTCGGCACAGCCACGCAAGCACTGGCACTGGTTCTGGGTTTATGAGAATAACAAATCAGTTAATTATTCAAATAGCCCTAAATGTAATCGTTGAGTCTATGAGTATCATCAACAAAATCTATTTTTTAGCATATGGAAAAAAATTTTTGGTAAATTTCTCCTCGTCAACATATTTTCGCATTTAACTGAAATCTGTAATCATCGCCAAGTGTACTGTCAACATAAAAGGTTACCACACTCCTTTATTATTCAAATGCTAACATAAAAAAATTGTTTAGGCATCGCCACATGAGTCATTACTCAAGTTGTCATGTTTTGATAAACATGTGGTAATGAAAGGAAAAGTATAATAAATAATGATTCGCCAGGTTGGCGTCAGACCAACGATGTATCTATGTGAATTTCGGTTTGAGGATTTTATTTAGTGTCGAAGTGAAATTAAGAATCATGATTCTCCAGATGTTTTATTAAGCGCGGAGGGGGAAATCAAATGCACATGCGTAAAGCCTATGAGAAAGATTTTGTTGGTTGTTTTGAGGTGCGGATTTTAGAGCATTCCGTATAATGGGCGTCCGGATTTCGGGCTTTGTACTGTACTATATATTTCAATGTATAAGCTAAGAATTTTTTGAATTTTTCTAAACCGAAATTACAGAGGTTGGCTTATATAAAGATCTGCTAATCTTGCAAAAACACATAGGTATTTTTCCATTAGCTGGGCACAGGCAATAAAGTCTCTGTCAAAATCTGAGTTTCCAAATGGTTTGTAAAATTCACTTTCACTCATTGGAATGTCTAGATGCATATCATCATTACTTTCAATATTTCCAAATTAAAACTTACATCCTCTTCATACAGAAAAGTGTCTTTGCTTCCATAGAGTTACTGAAAAACCAAAGTTCCGTCTAAGCTGTATAGGTATGTGGCCGCATACTAATTTTTCGAAAGTTGCGCAGCAATTTTTGTTAAAAATTTGACTTCAATAACACAGGCAAAGAACCTCCCCCCAATGCACACACACATTTGCACATTTGTATTATTTTGGAACATTTTTGCTCCCATATACAAGGCCTTGCAAGTTTTCAAACAATGCCCAATTCTCAGACATGCAAAACAGGCTTTATTTTTCCTTAAAATATCCCTTTATCCCTCAAAAGACATTTTTTGGCATTTAAAACAGTCTTGACAATAACATGTTTTGCCACAAAATACACAAGCAGGTTTAGCTTTAGCACCCAACACTAGATTATAAGCCATCAGGGCAGAAATTTCATCTTTTGAGAACTTTTGATTTTTTATTTGAAATTTCATTTGATTTAAAGCCAGCTTTAGATAAAGGAAGTTTTCTTCACCCTCAACTTCTAGGCAAAGAAACAACAACAACTGGGACAGCTTATCACCATATGAGTACTTTTCTTCTTTATTGATCACTAGATTACATAACCAAACCCACAACAAATTTTCAGGATGCATGATTCCACTTGTCAATAGTTATAACAATTGGCTCTAAAGACCTCAAATACAACTAAAATTTATCATACCGCTGCATGATGTTCATCTTCATTTTCATATTCATAGCACTGTTTACTACCACTGATAGCAGTTCACAAACATAATACTCAACAACTAGCTCTTGATGGCCAAACCTTGTTTTTAGGCTATCAATGGCTTTTGCAGTTATCAGCAGTTGGCAAATAGCTATCTACAATTTCTTGGACTCTACTGCCAACTGTCATGCATTGGATGAGATACTGAAATGTATCTTCATAACCGATTGATTCACCATCATCAATTTTACTGAACTGACTCTATCATTAGGATTCCCAGCATATATGCCGAGGAAGAAGGTCGCACGTTTAACGTGCTCCCGCTGACTCAGCCAAATTCGACGGAATTTTAATATGGATATTTCAATAAATGAGGATGGGTGCAGTGAGGATATTGTGAATGAGCAACCCTCTGTGCAAAATGAATTAGCGATTGACTTCACTTATCAAGTTTTATGAACTGAAGTAACAATTCGAACCATTTTAGAGTCAGAAGGTCTTCATAAAGCGGGCCTCGACTCCATTTGAAACCACCAGTTTGACTAGCTCGACAGGTTAGATAAGTTACTTTTCCATCAGAACAATACTGCAAATTTCCTGGATGTACAAATTTTCCACCTGCCAATCGACCAGAGATGTTTTCTTAAAAATGATTGAAAATAAAAGGATAGCTAAAGAAAATGAGATTAAAGAGAAGGAAGCAATTCATTTAAAATGAATTAAACAATCTAATAGTATCGGAAAGGCCATTTCTGCGAAAAAGTGCAAAGGGCAGCTAATTGACTTGGAGGATTTTATAAAAACTGCTTCTAGGAAGCAGGGTAAGACCCCAGCAATTACCCTAGATGATGACTTAAACTCTAATGTAAATGTGTGTATTGAAAATGCAAATTCATCCAACATGGCCACCGCAAACACTTTGTAAAGGTCAAAGGTGAACCCAGTTACTAGTTGTAAAATGTCAGAGGTCAAACCTAGTAGTAACAAATATGAGTCTATCAAAGAATCTTTGTTACACAAACAGAAAACTTCTTCGACTGCAGTTTTGGTTTCCCCCGGCAACCAGGAGTTAAAGAGAGGAGAAATAATTCTAGCAAGCATGTGAAGAGAGTCCCCCCACCTCTCCGCAGCAACCACAGAATATTCCAGCTATTCACATAAAATCAAGAAAGCAGCGGAAGACGCAAAAATCATTTTTGCATAAGATTTTTCCGAATATTAAGACCAAACTCACTGGCCCCTTTTGAAATTGTTTGTTCAAACTGAACTTGAGTTCCCGGAGGTTACTCGCTGGATGGAAAAGGCTGGCATTCAGTATAAGGCATTATATCTACAGCAGGACCAACTGATGAAAATTTTTCTGGTCAAAACAGAAAACAAGGACATTAAAGGTGAAGTCGATAGGCTTTAACTCCCTGAGTGGCTTGGCTTTTTCAGGAAATGACATTAAAAATAATCATATATACTCGACTGGTGTTTCGTAAAAATGGCTGGTATTTTGATTCAAACTACTTGAAAAGCAGGCCCTCCTACATATGGTTATTATTAAGGACATTCTCCCCTTTGTTGAATTTAGGGAGTGAAATTGGTTTTTCTCCCCATGGCATCTTCAGCAGAGGATTGGTTGCTAGAATGATATTTTATTTCCTATTTCGCTACTTTATAGTTTGCATACTAACATCTAGGCTATATATTATTCGTAGCAGTTACGATATGTGTCGAATACAGAAAGTTTGTCAATATGCATCAGTAATAGAAACTACAGTGGTGGCCAAAATTGTGGACACTTTTGGAAATTTTTATGTTTTTGAACTTTGTATGCTTATAGAAAACGCCATGTTTCACAAAATCCAAACTTGTATATATCATTTTAAAGAGAATTTATTACTGAATTCAATACAAAACACAAAATTCAATTATTTGCAATACAAAAAAAGTTAAATGATAATAGTTATCGATATACATTAGTACATCATGCCAGGAAATAATTATAGCCTCAATTAGTTCCTTTTTATTTGATGGGGGCCTCATTCGAACAAGAGTTTTAAAACGGTGTCACAAATTTTCGATAGGATTGAGGTCAGGACTGTGTCCTGGCCATGACAACAATTTCATGCCCTTTGTACGAAACCGCTCTTTTGATATTTTGACTGTGTGGCAAGGAGCAGAATCCTGCTGAAAAATAAACGAAGCATTGTTGGGAAAGAGATCTCTGATGGAAGGTAGAAGTTTTGGTTCTAGAATAGTGTCAATGTATTTTCTGGCATTCAGTGTCCCATCGATGACATGAAACTGACCAATAATATCTGCTGACATGCATGACCAAATCATAACACTAACTGGGTTTTTCACAGTTGATTGAATGCAGTCAGTATGTAGCTCTTCTCCTAGTCTACGTCTTACATATTTTCGCCCATCACTGCCGAATAACGATATCGTAGTTTCATCACTCCATATAACTTGTGACCACTGATCATCTGTCCAATTAATGTGTTTCCAATTAATGTCTTTCTCAACTGTAATGTGTAGTCCCCCCCCTATTTTTCGTTGCTGAAAATTAAGATAAGGCTTTTTTTCGTGGAATTCTACCTCTCAGTCCAACATCTGTTATCTTCTCCTTGATTGTTCTTGAACTGACAGAAACACCAGCATCATTCAGATCACTTCTGATGGCCGCTGATGACATTTTTCTATCTTAGAGACATAATCTTTTTATTCTTCTGTCATCAATAGATGTGGTACACCTTTTTCGGCCTTTTCCTTCTTTGTTTTTTATTGAATTTGTCTCCTGATAACGTAAACAAAACTTTCGGACTCCAGATGTAGTCATTGAACCACTCACCTGTCTTGCAATTTCAGCATAGGAAAGACCACTTTCTCGTAACACAATAAAATTACATCTCTTTCTACGTGTCCGATCTACTCTTTTATTTGATGTCATTGCTTCTTGACTAAATATTAAAAATTTTTACAAAAATTCCTACTTGTAATTGCAGTGTATATGAAACAGGTCCTCCTTCTACAGAACAAAGCAAAATAATGAATTGTTTGAAGTGTAAACACGAAGTCAGCTTCTACTGGCAGTTACTAACATTTGATTGGTTCTCAGAACAAGAACAGTGATTGGCCAGGAAAGCTAGATATTACAAACCACTTCATAACTGTGCTTTTTATTTATATTAAAGTACATATAACTTTTTTTTGTGTTGCAAATAATTGAATTTTGTGTTTTGTATTGAATTCAGTAATAAATTCTCTTTAAAATGATATACAGTCAAAAGTCGTTAATCCGGACTCGTCGGGACTTCGGCGATTTCGGATTATAGATCATCAGTTTAAATCTCGTAATATGGCATGCAGAAATTCTAAAATTAAAAATATGAAACCGCAATTTATGAAATAAAGAACAATTATAATCTAAAGGGTATCAAAATTTACCAAAAAAAAAAAAAAAAGCTTAATATTTATTTGTTTAATTTATTAAACATTTCTTTCAATGTAAGTTTGTTTAAGTTGCTTTGTTTTATGTGATCATACTTTCTCTTTAATTCTATAACAGACATAATTTCTTGTTCAGTTACAAAGTTTCCGCTGTTCAAGTCCCGTTAATTGCTGTGCCGAGAATACCGACTACTTGTCAATCGAAATTTTTTCGTTTTCACTAAACCTCTCTGTCACATTCTTCATGTCTTTATCCTTTTTTTGCAGCAATACCACTTTTTGTTTGTTGGACATCGAAACATACTTTCGTTTTGTAGATCCTTTGGAAGTTCCAGCATCGGAAATTCTATTTGACATAATCGAAAGTTCAAGTTTACTTTTATAAAATTGCTCTTACAGTCGGCAAAAAATAATAAGCGAAATCCAATTCGAAGTTTAAGGAACAATGCAATCATTAACATTAACTGAAATAGATAATTAGATAATTTTAGCTTACACCGTCTGTTATACATTAAACGCGCAGGCGAAAACTTATTCTGCACTTGCGCACACGCATATGCGCAGTAGTCAAGGTCTTACGTGCACGCGTAAAACGCCTGTGCCAACGCGGCGCATGCGCAGAAAGTTTTTAGCTTTGAGGTCCGGATTATAGATCATTCCGGCTTATGGGTGTCCGAATTAACGACTTTTGACTGTATACAAGTTTGCATTTTGCAAAACGTAACATTTTCTGGTACAACTCTGATATACGCCCTAATTTTACCAAATGTGGCGATATGTGTTCTGCGCTGGTTTTTGCCGCGATTGCGTGTTCTATGGCAACCCCGTTGACGTTGAACATTCTTTAGCTGGAGCTCGTTGATTCGCGTCTGTGTCTGAGAAGATGGGAGGGAAAGATAAAGAAGTTGTTGAATTCAAGTTCGGCAAAAGGAAATATCATTGTGGCCATCCTGTTGAGGGGTAGCGGGTATTTGGAGGTGTGGAAAGAAGGTCTGGAGAGATTATTTTTAATGGCTATGCATGACAGAAGTAGGGATTTGTGATTTTTATTTATTTGTGAACCATAGTATGAATTTTCTGGAGTGTGTCTGGCTGTCATGTAAATACGATAGTGATTACGTGGCGGTACGAAATTGGCATTTCTGCTGCTCGAAAAAGCATTAATTCATGGTAAGTGCATTTTATTTTATTCTTGTTCTTATTTTGTAGAATGTTATGTTCATTGGTTATTTAGTATGTATTTCTGTTCTTGTTATTTTTGAAACAAAACGCTGTGTACATGGTATTATTTGAAATTTATTGTTATTATGTTATTTTACTAAAGCGAGGTGTGCATAGATCGTAGATTCGTTCCTTGCCTAAATTGTGCAATTCGTAGATGTTTTTTTAAGTTTAAACAGGATGCTGCGTACACAGTATTTTTGAAATTTATTGTTATATTAATTTATTAAAGCGAGGTGTGCGTAGTTCGTAGATTCGTTCCTG